AGACCCCAGGAGCCCTGTGGGAGGAGCCTGGGGGAGGGAAAACCGCAGCTTCTGTGAATGAGACCTCTGGGAACATATATAAATGTCCTGTAAACAGCAAATCAGGGTGTGGATAGTTGTGGGGAATATTTCTTCTAGACCTAGATAAATGGGAATAAATTTGAACAATAAAGTGACCAACTGACATGAAACTTTCCCCCATGTTTGAAGACCTGGATCTTTGCCTGACTTGGCCATGCTGTTCATATGTTGTTGATAAATTCATGTGAAAACCCACAGCTTGATCAGCAGACAATTCTCCACATTGCTGTACTTTTCTATGATGTTTTGTTTGTTAGYTGGCTCTCTATGACTGTTGAAAAATATCATTTCACTATGCTAGACCCTCGAGATTGAGAGAAATCATGAGGCAACCAGGCAGAGAGAGTTACTCTGAGAAGGATTCCCTGCTGAAATATCCTGTGGGTTCTTGATGATGGAGCAGGAGAGACAGAGCTCTGCAGGGAACCTCCTCTGCAGGCACAGAGAGTAACTGAAACACCTCGAGGAARTTTTGTTGAGCTGCTCTTGAGATTGGGGTCAATTGTGAGAGAAGGCAGAGAAACCCTGTAATGAAGACTTCGGATTATTTGACTGACAGGTCTAAAAAGTTCTGTCAGCAGGTAGAAGATGACAGTTGAGCACTTTTTAAAAGAAAACAAATACGACATTGMCCAACAAATAAGCATGATCCAATTTCAAAAGAGCAAAATATATTAACATCCATTTATAGAAGAAGAAAATGTGTCCAGTAAACATGTGAAGAGATGAGAAAAAGAAACCGTATCTGCCTTGTATATCATTGTGTGGGGAGAGGAAGAAGTTTCAAAGGCCCATAATTTAGTTTCAAATAAATAACCATGCATTACCAAGCAATGCCTGCATATTTTGATTAAGTTTTATGCATAAAAAAGTGAGCAAAAGCCAAATATAAAGAAAGGCTCACAGGGGACTTGAGGTCTGGATAATGGAGGATGAAGACTATTACCTAGAAGAACCAGGKAGCTAAACTGAGTGCACTCAGCCACCACCAAGTCTGCTTACCCAATGGTTCTTGTGGAAAATAAGTTCCCCARACATCAAGAAAACTCTTCACGTGAATAAAAAGAAGAAAAAAATTATATTTAAAAAAATCACATTGAAATACTCTGAAAATAAGGACTAGTAACACACTGGCTGTTGACAAATGTTTGGTTTGGGCTGTACTACAAACTGCAGTGTCAATAATGACAAAAAACATTAACCAATATGAGCATGAAGGAAAAAAATTATTATATAAATCAGACTGGAGACAACTTGGAGAGAAAATAGATAAGGAAAGGTACAAAAAACTAGTTAGAAAAAAACAATTCTATTGATCTCCCATGATGGAGGATGAAATGGAGTAGGGATAAGAAGTTCACCCAAGTCCTGGATGGACCATGCATGAGGCTGGTGCTAGAATCCATGGGAGGGGGGTGGCTCTTTGTGCCCAATGCCCTTAGAGTTCTCAGGAAAGGCCAGAGGGGCTGAGGAGATCCACTGGTCAGCAGGGCTGGTGGTCAGTACGGACAACAATATGTGGAGTAGGGAAAGGTCAGCAGACACTGGAACCACTGGCACCCTGTATTCTCTTCTGTTTTCAGTGCTGGAAATCMAACYCAGCGCCTCATGTGTACCTGTCAAGTGCTCTGACACCTGCCCAGCACCTCTGGTCCTCTTTCTCACAGCTTCAGATCAATGATGATCTCAGAGCAATGGCAGGTATTTTTTTCCCCTTGATACTTTTATGCATTTCTTCTCCATGTGATCAACTCTAACCATACATACCACAAAGGAAATCCTCAGAAACAGATCTCCTGCTCAAGTAGGTTGACACAGTAAAAGAACAACACAGTGAGTGTGTCTCAAACAAAACAAAACAAAAAACAGGAAGTTTGTACTCTGCTCCTGGGGCTTGAAACCTCTTCTTCCCAGACCAAGCACCAAGCTGGGCCCAAGGCCAACCACAACAATGCTCCACAGCTACACAGTGCAGAGGTAGTTACATTGTGAGGTACCCCATTCCAACAGGCCCAGCCAATCAGGAAAGGCAAATGCAGTCACAGGACCATACAGATGCCCTTCAGCAGATATATTAACACTGATGCAATGCAATGGTTATATTGTTAGGATAAAAATCCTTTTTACTATGTCACAAATAAAATTTGATAGTTCAAGTCTTAATTCCACCTTTTTAAGCTAAATGTTCCAGAGAACTATAACTAAACATTATGTGAAAGTACAACCTGTGTGCTGTTCTCAGAATGAAAGTATGGTGCTTTGGGAAAAACTTTCAGCTCTGAGGTTTGCAATGTTTTGTTTGTAACTGCTGGATTTTTTTCAAAACTGATCCATTAAAACCTTGAGCCCAGCATGTTCAAATAGAAAGAGTTCGTTAAACCACCTAGGATCCGTTCTCATTGGACAGTACTTAATGTGAACTCCGTTTCAATAAAATTATAAAAATAAATTACTGTCATAGCTTTCTTTACATGAAGACTTATAAGATAAACCAGTATTTTTTAGAATCAAGTCCAATGAGATGTGAGGGGAATTGTCAGGAGATGGTCATGAGGGGTAGAGCTCACTGGTAGGTAAGARGTGCCTTTAACTTGATTATAAAGAAGCACCRAGCCTCCAGCCCAGGTGCTGYTCTGGGCACTGTGAATTCACAATGCAGTGTCGGCCTGTAGTGCAGTGATTAACACTCATGAGTAGGCCTGGTGGGATGACCTTGAACATAGGACAAAGAACATAGGATTGAGTAAAACGCATTTACTACCTGAAAGTATGTCCCCTTTGCCACCTAAGAAACTCGCTGAAATCGTCCCAGTGTTATGGGTCTCAGAGCACCTCTACACTTCTGGAGGTTGAGCTGGCAAGTCTCTGAGGCCTTCTCCAGCAAGATGGTTCTTTCACAGGAAGTTGGATGCTCTTTGTATCACTGGCAAGGWCCACCACCAGGGGGCAGATGAGAGCACCCCAGGACCCTGTGTTCAGGCGCCCATCCTCCAGGGCTGGGAAGAGGAAGAAGGGGCACATRGTCMRACCTCCCCAGAGAAGGTGGTGTGAGGCCAACGCTGAAGATGCTGCTGCTCCTGCTGCTTCTGGGGCCCAGTATGAGCCTTCTCCTGCCTGGGAGAGTGGGCGTGTGTGTGCATGTGCTGGTGTGAGTGAAGTGTGCCAGGCATTGTGGAGTGTGTGTGCTTCTAGAAGTGAGAGGGCGCGTCCAGGCTGGCTGAAGTGTACAGGGTGAGGCACCAGTGAGGGGAGGCGGGGGATTAGGACCCAGGGAGTCTGAGAGGATGCTTGGGGACAGACAGGGATTCTCCAGGGGCTGGGGGAAAGGTGATGGCAGAGGCTGAGTGTCCTGGGTCCTGTGTGACTCTGGTCCTGCTGGCCTCTCTGTCCCTGTGTTTCTGCAGGCTCTGGGCTTGGTGCTCATGTCTCTCAACATCCAAGCAGGGCCATCTGTAAGAGTGGGACCTCTGTGAAGATCGAGTGTCGCTTTGTGGACTTCCAGGCCTCAACTGTGTTATGGTACTGACAGTTCCCCAAACAGAGCTTCCAGCTGATGGCAACCTCTAATGTGGGATCTGAGGGCACCTATGAACAAGGTTTTGACAAGGAAAAGTTTCCCATCAGTCACCCAAACTTCACCTTTGCATCTCTGGTGGTGACCAGCGCACATTCTGCAGACAGCAGCTTCTACTTCTGTGSAGGCAGTGACACAGTGCTGGGTGGAAGTCAGAGACCTAGGCAAGAAGGATTGCAGCAGCCTGCCCTCCCCCCACAGATTCATGGGGCCCTGTGGGAAGAGCCTGGGTGGGGGGGAACCACAGTTGTTCTGAATGAGACTTCAAGAAGGGGACAGGGGATGTAGACAAGAATCTAGGTATGGAGGGTTGTTGGAATTGTTTCTCTTGACCTAGAAAAATGGCAGTAAAATGATCAACTGACATGGAAAGTTCAAATATTTGAAGACCTAGATCTTTGCCTTACTCTTCCATGTTGGCCAGATGTTCTTGCTGAATCTATGTGAAATCCCACAGCTAGATCTGTAGGTGATCCTACACGTTACTGTACATTTCTATGATCTGTCCTTTGGCAACTGGCTCTCCATGACTGTTCAGCACTATCTTGTCACATGCTGGACTCTCAAGATCAAGAGAAATCATGAGGCAACCAGGTAGAGAGAGGGTTCATAGAAGGATGATTTCCTAAGAGAACGCAAAAAATGACCCTGGCCAACAAATCTGTATGATCCAAGAAAAAGTGAGCAAAACACGTCTGCACCATTTATTAGAAGAAAATGTGTCCAGTAAACACATGWAGAGACAGGACAAGGAAACTACTTAGCATCTCTCTTGCATATCGTTGTGTGTGCCAAGGGTGGAATGTCTCAAAAGGCCATAGTTGAGTGTTACGTAAATAACCATGCATTGACAAGCAATGTGTGCATGTTTTGAATCACAGGTGAAGATTGATTAAATTATATGCATAAAATAGAGAAAGAAAAAAAATACGTGAAAGCTTATAGAGGATTTGAGGTCTTGAAAACAGGATGAAGAGCTTTAGCTACTGAGAACTAGAGAGCAAAACCCTGTTGGCTCTGGCACCACCAAGTGGACTGTCCATAGAGGACACTTACCATCTCCTACACCTACCATTTTCCTCAAGCAAATCTTTAGTATGTACCAGCTCAGAGYAGAGAGAGATACATCAGGCTTTACCTGTGCCCTCTGAACACAATTCCTGGCTTCATGGCCTTTGATTCCTCGCAGCTGATATGTCGTGGGCAAAGATGTAGAACCCTATTAGGGTTCGGAGGGCTCTTCTTGGACTGATGCCCCCTGATCTCAGAGCTCTGACTCTTAACTTCTTTCTGCTTACCCTATGGTTCACGTGGATAGAACAGTTCCCCAGACATCCAGAAAAACTCATCACATGGGTAAAAAGAACAAAAAATTATGAAACAAAGTCACATTGAAATACTCTAAAAATAAGTACTAGCAACGTACTGGCTATTGACAACATGTTTGGCCTGGCCCGTGAATAATCCATGTCAGTAGTGACACCAAAATTAACCTGAATGAGCATGAAGGAATAAAAAATTTATCATAGGAATCAGACCTGACACAACTTGAGGTGAAACTAGATTAGGAAAAGTCAAAACCAGTTAGAAAAAAAAAATCTAATTAGGTCTGGTGATGGGGGATGAAATGGAGCTTGGGATAAGTTAGGTACATGAAAGCCCTGGGTGGATCTTGAAAGAGGCAGGGGCTGGGATCCATGGAAGATGGCTGTTTCTTTGTGCGCACTGTCCCATGAGTTCTCAGGGAGGGCTGGTGGGACAGGGTGTCCCACTGGTGAGCAGGCCTGGTGTCAGCATGGACAGCAATATGTGGAGTGGGGAAAGGTCTGCACACTGGAACCACTGGCACYCTTTATTCTCTTCTTTTTTCAGTGCTGGGAATCAAACCCAGGGCCTCCCACCCAGCCCAGCACCTCTGGTCCTCCGTGTCACAGCTTCAATCAATGATGATTTCAGAACAACGCAGGGGTTTTATTTTCCCTTCATACTTTTTGCTTTTCTTCTCCCTGTGATCAACTCTAAGCCAACCCAGAACYGTACATACCACAAAGGAAATTCTCAGAAACACCTTTCCTGCTTAGCTAGGTTGACAGGTAACAGGACACCACAGTGAGTGCCTATCAAGATGAGCAGGAAGACTTGGCTCTGATCCAGGTGGCTTCCAGCTTCTTCTTCTCAGACAAAGCACAAAGCTGGGGCCAGACCATGCATAGCAAGGAGTCCTCGTGCCACACTGCAGAAGTAGTTACCTGGTGAGGTGGCCCATTCCAAGAGGCCCAGCCAACGAGGAAAAGCAAATGCAGTCACAGGACTAAGCAGATGCTCATTGTCACAGAGAGTAACACTGATGTAATGCAATAATCATATTTTATGATAAAAATTATTATATCACAAATATGATTTGATGGTTCAAGTCAATATTACTTTTTTAAAAAAAAAATAATTTTTTAGTTGTGGATGGAAACAATACCTTTTATTTATTTTTGTTTGTTAATCTATTTTTTATTGGTTGCTCAAAAAAATAAATAAATAAAAAATAAAGGATTAAAAAAGACCAAAAAATACCTTTTATTTTTATTTGCTGCTGAGGATTGAACACAGTGCCTCATATGTGCTAGGTGAGTTGAGTGTTCTTCCACTGAGCCACAACCCCAGCCCTTAATACCACTTTTTTAAGCTCCCTGCTCAAGACAACTACAACTAAATATTAAGCGAAACTACAACTACTAGGCTGTTTCTCAAAATGAAAGTGTGGTGCTTGGGAAAAACTTTTCAGCTCTGTATTTTTTTTTTTTGTTTTCTTTGATTGTTTTTTTAATTGCTAGACTTTTAAAAACTATTCCTTTAAAAAACCTAGCCCAGCATGTTCAAATAGAAAATGTTCCTTAAACCACCTAGAATTCATTTCATTCTTATGTGAACTTCATAATAGTAAAATGATGATACATAAATTATTGTCATAACTTTTTTTTACCTGAATACATACAGGATAAACGAGTATTTATTAAGAGTGAAGTTCACTGAGAAGAGAAGGGAATTATCATGAGATGATCATGAGAGGAAGAGCTTGTTGGAAGGTGACAAGTGCCTTCAACTTGATTATGGAGAAGCACTGAGCCTCCAGGCCAGATGCTGCTCTGACACTGTGGATTCACAATGCACTGTGGGCCTGTAGTGCAGTGATTAACAGCTTGAGATGTCTTGGTGTGATTACTACCAAGATAGGACAAAGAAGGTAAGGATTGAGTAAAATGCATTTACTACTCAAATATATGTCCTCTTTTCTACCTAAGAAACTTGCTAAATCATGCCAAAGTTCATAGTCCCAGAAGCAGCTTCTACACATTTGAGAAGGCTTCATCTTGTATCACTGTCATGGACCACCACCAGGGGGCAGATGAGAGCACCCCAGGTCCCTGAGTTCAGGCGCCCATCCTCCAGGACTGGGAAGAGGAAGAAGGGGCACATGGTCAGACCTCCCCAGAGAAGGTGGTGTGAGGCCAACGCTGAAGATGCTGCTGCTCCTGCTGCTTCTGGGGCCCAGTATGAGCCTTCTCCTGCCTGGGAGAGTGGGCGTGTGTGCGCGTGTGCTGGTGTGAGTGGAGTGTGCCAGGCATTGTGGAGTGTGTGTGTGCTTCTAAAAGTGAGAGGGCACCTCCAGGCTGGCTGAAGTGTACAGGGTGAGGCACCAGTGAGGGGAGGCGGGGGATTAGGACCCWGGGAGTCTGAGAGGATGCTTGGGGACAGAMAGGGATTCTCCAGGGGCTGGGGGAAAGGTGATGGCAGAGGCTGAGTRTCCTGGGTCCTGTGTGACTCTGGTCCTGCTGGCCTCTCTGTCCCTGTGTTTCTGCAGGCTCTGGGCTTGGTGCTCATGTCTCTCAACATCCAAGCAGGGCCATCTGTAAGAGTGGGACCTCTGTGAAGATCGAGTGTCGCTTTGTGGACTTCCAGGCCTCAACTGTGTTTTGGTACCATCAGTTCCCCAAACAGAGCTTCCAACTGATGGCAACCTCTAATGTGGGATCTGAGGGCACGTATGAACAAGGTTTTGACAAGGAAAAGTTTCCCATCAGTCACCCAAACCTCAACTTTGCATCTCTGGTGGTGAACAATGCACATTCTGCAGACAGCAGCTTCTACTTCTGTGCTGGTGACACAGCGCTGGGTGGAAGTCAGAGACCTAGGCAAGAAGGGTTGCAGCAGCCTGGCCTCCCCCACCCACACACACCCCAGGAGCCCTCTAGGAGGAGCCTTGGGGAGGGAAAACCACAAAGAGGAGTTGACAGAGAATCTGAGTGTGGAAGATTGTGAGGGTTTTTTTTCCCCTAGACCTAGAAAAATGGGAATAAAATTTGTCCAATAAAGTGACCAGCTGACATGGAAAACTCCCCAAGTATTTGAAGACCTGAATCTTTGCTGACTCTGCCATGTTCTCCATATAGTCTTCATGAGTCTATGTAAAGTCCCACAGCTACATCTGTAGACATTTCTGCACATGACTGTACATTTTTGTGTTTCCTGTGGCAAATGGCTCTAGAGGATGGTTCAGCACTATCTTGTCAGCATGCTGTACTCTCAAGATCAAGAGAAATCAGAAGGCAACCAGTCAGAAAGAGTTAGTCATAAAAGAATCCACTGCTGTGGTAAATCCCTTTCTGCAGGTACAGAGCATATCTGAAAAATACCTAGAGAAGGATTTGCTGAACTTCTCTTGAAATAGGCTACAATAGTCCAAGAGCCAGAGGAAGTCTATAAGGAAGACTTCAGATTACATAACTGACAGATCTAGAAAGTTCTATCAGAAGGTAGAAGATAACTGGAACACTGAAGGCAGGATCTTGAAGAAATCATTTCCTAATAGATGATTTCTCCATTGACAACAAATGTGCATGATCCAATAGAAAATGAGCAAAATGCATTAGCATTCATTTTCTTAGAAGAAGAAAATGTAT